AAGCAGCTTCAGGAGTAATTAAGAAAAGAAATATATTATTATCAGAATGTCCAAAACGGGTAATTGTAGTGGTAAAATTTTTTTGAGTATAAGAGGCTTAGCATTTAGAGGTTCCGAGGAAGTATTTGGTTCTCCACATAATGGTAATTTTATGAGGAGTCTGGAGCTATTGGCAGAGTTCGATCCATTCATTCGTGAACACATTGAATATCGGGAGCTGCCACCAAAACCGATAATATCGTACTTATCAAAAACACACAGACACAAAATATTATTTAACTGTGATGGATTCTACACCAGATCTGTCTCACAATGATCTGTCTCACAACTTGCTATTGTATTACGATACTGTTTTCGGGGAAAAGTATATGAAAGATGTGTAACCTTCATTAAAATTAGTAGTCATACTGCCTTACATTTATTTAATATTCTACAAGACTTTATAGAAACAAATGGATTACTACTGAGGGGGCAATCTTATGACAACGCTGCCAGTATGGCGGGTCACTACAATGTTTTTTGACATGGCTATAATTGAGTACTTAGGTAAGCCCCTAAGTAGTTTCAGCCCAGGGCCCCACAAATTCACGATCCGCCTCTGTGATTGCTGATTTGTTTATAAAAAAATTGTTAACAGTATGACAATCTGTGAATGGTATGCAAGATTATTTACTCCCTGGCACAAAATTTGACACAGTTTAAATTGAGTTTAAAAATTTGATAAAGTTTAATGTTTCATAACATTTTATTTCGTAATACGATTTTTATGATTATTATCAGTGTTAAGATATTTTTATGACTTATATTCTTCGGTTATGTGGGCTTATACCGGGGTAAATCAAAACGTTGTTTTTTTGCAATAAATTCAAAACACCATGTGGAAAAAATGGGAAGGGCATTTTGGATAAAACACACTTTCCTGTTATCTTAGATGTACTCCTAATATTTCATTTTTTGAATTATCCCATTATCTCTATTCTTGTACGAGCTACACATTTTTAAGTAAAGTATTGATTTCAGAGATAATAATTTTAATAGCGTGTATGTCAACCTCTGGCAGCAATAACAGCTCTAGGTCTTCGTCGTATTGGGTGAATAAGGGTAGTTATTTTTCTTGATCTATAGCTTGACAAATTTTCGGAATTTTTAACTTAAAAAGGGAATAAAAAGTAAAATAGTTAGCTGCGTATTGCTTAAAAAAATCATCAGAATCTGCCTAATAGAACAAAATATTTTAGAACTTTTTTAATTTTAGAATACATGAAAATTATTATAAATAAGGTGTGCGTTTTTATACCGGTGTGATTTTTATTTTATATTTTTTAAGTACAAAGTTCTGCCTAGATAAGGGGTATTATAAATAATGGCGTCATAACCTTATATTTTTTTTTTGTATAAACAATTTTGCCCTATCTACTAAAATGAAGTGGTGGAAGGTTAGATCTGTTTTTATTTAAATGTTAATAACTCCGGACTGGGTGATCAGAATCCAACGAGCTAGGGCTCCCTTAAAAGAGCGTTCTTTACTCTACATTATACTATATAAACAATAATAATAAGCATTTAATAGTAGACGCTAGGGGGCGTTGTCTTATAATTCAACAAACATTCAGGTTTTTTTTTTAAATTGAAATACAACGTATAGTAATTTTAGGTAATAATAAAGAGGAATAAACGCTTAAAAAGTCAGTGAAAGCCGCATCTTGATTTCTCTTTTCAAACCGAAGATATTAGCAAAAATATGATACGAAAAATAAGCCCTTAACTACCTTATTATCTCTTGACTTTGACGCTTAAACTCTTAGTTCAAAAGCCTACCGTGACTTCATTGCGGTAGGCTTTGTTGGCATCACGTCGTTTATTCTTTACTGTCAATGGCATCTTAATCTATTATGTGTATTTTTGTCAACAAACATGGCAATTCAAACTAAATTTGTATATTTTCAAATGGAATATTTGTACGAATGGTATACAATTCCAATTTATTTTATGAGTTTCGGGATTTTTTTACAAATTTAAGATTCTGTCGTGAAAGTAACTACCATGGAAGTTCTCTGTTCAAAAATGTATTTAAAATTTATTATTCTTATACTATTGTTACGGATTCCGTGGGTCCACTAATTTAAACTCACGGTAAAATACTTAAGGAATTTATTAAACCAATAATAACAATATAAGTAGTAGGATGTACTAGGACGTATCACGACAGAAACAGGTATTTGTAAAAATTTCCGCTTTAATCAAAAACTAATAAAATTATTGTGCATTGAAGTTTGACGATGAATATCTTTTAAACCGTGAATGTAATCGACTAATCTTAAGAAACCATTTTTGTAGAGCAGTGAATTTCCTACAAAACGTGAGTTGTGTGTATCAAGCTACGTCGACACGGGTACTGAAGCACGATCGTGGCCCACACTTTCATGGACCACGCCTCATGTCAACAGTAGATTCATGAAAGAAGAATAGAAACGAATCAATAAGAAAGACGCCACGATCGTGAATAAGCAAATCAAACGTGTTAGATATTTCACGAACCAAATCGATCGTGAACCGCAGAGGAAGTAATTTATAACTTACAGAAGAAGTAAAAAAGGCATATTTTGTACTATTCTCGCATTAGAAAATATTGATTGAGTTCCGATTATAATCTTTGTTGCAAAAAAAGTTCGAATGTTTTCAATTTTTTTCTGTTACATTTTTTAAATACATTTTAGTATATGATTATAAAAATTAACTTCATATGCATAACAAAACCATAATTAAAATAAATAAATATAAATTCAATTTTTATATACAGGGTGGCCCATCGAAAACGTTCCGCAAGGCATAACGGCCAGGGTATTTATTTTTTCAAAAAATCCAAAAACACGTCAATGTTGTTTGTGATGGGGACAACTTTTGCCCCAAAAATGATTGCAAAATATTTAACCCTCTAAGCGGGGGTGTCATCCCCCACCTTTTTTCAAATAGAAAGAGGGGTCAAGTGGCGCCGCTATTTCCCTGTTTCGTTTTTGAAAATCGGTCGAGTCATTGAGAAAATATGAAGGATTGAAATTTGAAAAGTCTATTTAAGCATTTATCAGAGTAAATGATAATTAAGGATAAATTCGACCAATTTGCTGTTTTTTCTTATTATTTCTAAATGTTTACGCATTTTTTCACTTGCCACAACGTTGAACGATCAGGTGCGGTAGTTGCTAGATAGCTGTTCTGTGACTTGTGCGTTGAAGTTCTTCTCAATATCGTTAAACTGACCCGCAATAGAATTTCCAAAAATATCAGCCCCCACCTCATTTCTGAGGGTTTTGTGTGTGCACCTCGTGAAAAAACCCTGGGGTTGTCCTCAGCCCAGTACCGACAGTTGTGCCGATTAACTACACCGTTCAAAAAGAAAGTACACTCATCCGAAAAACATACATTAAATAGGAAATTATTATCATTCGCCACTCGTTCACTCATAGTTCCACAAAATTGCAAGCAATGATCAAAATCGTTTTCGTTGAGTTCTTGCACCAACTGAATTCTGTACGGGTGGAACTTGTTTTTTTAATATACTTTGGAAACGATTCCCGCCGGTCTTATTGGCTAATTTTCTTGTACTCAAAATACTGTCCATGGCAATTTGGCCCAATAGCATAGCTTCATTTACTACAGGATTTTCCCTCTGCCTCTTTTTATTCATAACGGAACCAGTTTCGCGAAATTTTGCTACTAACTGGCGAACAATTTTGCCATAAAGGTGTTTGTCAGGATGGCGTTGATTGGATATCTGCGCAACCCGATTGCAAATATCTATAGAAATAACAAGAAAAAACAGCAAATTGGTCGAAGGAATTTATCCTTATCATTTACTCTGATAAATGTTTAAATAAACTTTTCAAATTTCAATCCTTCATATTTTCCCAACGACTCGACCGATCTTCAAAGACGAAGCAGGAAAGTATAGAGAATAGAAAGCCCTTTTCACTGCGGTACCATTTGACCCCCTTCCCATTTGAAAAAAATCGGGGGATGACACCCCCGCTTAGAGGTTTGAAGATTTTGCAATAATTTTGGGGGCAAAAGGATTCCCCCTCACAAACAAAATTGACGTGTTTTTGAATTTTCCGAAAAAAAAATTACCCTGGCCTTTATGCCTTGGGATGGGCCTCCCTGTACCATAATGACTCCGAAGTAAATTAGAAATGTCTGATGAAAAGACGTAAAATAATAAATATTGGCAACTCTGTGAAGATATATTGGCATGAATGCCACAATTAATTATTTTCACTCGTCTTTTAATGTCGTAATATTTGGCACATTAGTGTACAACCTTCCACGAAAAGAACTTTATTGAAGACTGTCACGAAAGTGTGAGCCACGAGCGTGCTTCACTACCCGTGTCAACCTAGGTTCATAGTGATTTTTTGTTAACGAGTTATAAAATTCAAAACAAAAAAAAATATACCTTAAAATAATCAAACTTCAACCTTTAATAACTTTCGAACGGTGAGGTATTCAAAAATATTGTAAAAGACCTTTTTTGTAAAGAATTCAATTTCGTACGAATATGTGAGACGAGATATTTTTTCCAAGCAGTAGATATCGAGATATGATTTTTTCTTTCTAATATTAAGGAAAAAATAGAAAACTGAATGGCAACCTTCCTATTAAAATTAAACCTTTTTTTGGGTATAAAATGAAACAAAAATAGTCGATTTTTTTGACCCACCTTACTCGCTATAGTATTCAAAATAATGATAGTTTATAACCATTGAGCTAAAAAATTAATAGTATTCTCTATCTCTCCATTTATAAATATACAACTTTAGTTTGAGAATATGTTTGATTCACTCTGTAGCTTTTTCGGAAGGCAGAGTCACCCTGTATTAACAAAATAATTTTGAAAAAATCACGTATTTCACGATGTATAAATAATACAATTATCACTAATAGAATTGAAGGAATAATTATATAAACAATATTAACTAAGAATTAGAATAGTTCATGGTACTTACGTGCTAAAGATGGCCTAAAATGAATCGCCTTCTGGTAGCTCTGAATTGCTTCGTCCAGCTCATTTCTGCCCTGAAGCAGAATGCCCCTGAAACAATACAGACTTGATTGAAAACCGTTGTCCCTGCTAGTGTTGTTCTTGTCCCGTTGTTGTTGTTGTTGTTGTTCAAATGCAGTGTCAGTGATTGACGTTAGCAACGCTTGACCACAAAGCAAACACGGCTGCTGGTGGCGATAAGCACTGGCAGGGGCGAGGAGGAGGTAATCGTGGCCTCGCTCAATGGCGCGGAGATCTTTGTTCAGCGTTAGATCGACGGCGGATAATGGATGTTCGAGTTTAGGAACATGTCTATACATTTGATGTGAGAGGGGTTATCGAGATTACTTTGTATGCACCGACACATACATCTATGTCGTACAAGTGTTTGTACAGGGTATCACATTTTCGTGTGTTTTACAGGGTTTCGCGATTATAAGCATTGGTACAAATATGCAGTTATATATATTTTTTTATTTATTTAATTTGGTTAAACTAAAGGTTCTACACATATATCTAATCCTCTTAGTTCCTGAAATACAGAGTGAATTTGAAATTGATATATTTTCCTAGTTTCCCTTGTATCTCGGATAGCTTAGAACTTATCGAAAAGGTGAAAGCCGAGTCCCATGGAGTTTTTCATAGAATTCAGTGACTTCCAGTTAAAACACTTGCACTTATTCCTGGAACCCTTGTATAATATATTCTTTCAAATGTCTAAATATTCCTATTTAATTATTTTAGTAAACGAAAATTCACAATATAACTAGTTTTTACAAATTATTTATTCTGGTGCCTTTCAGGCGCCACGCGGGTATTTATGTCTGTAAAACACATACGCAAGAGTTACTTGAGGGTTATCATACTTATTATTGCATTTTCACAAAATTTTAAATATTTCAAAAACATTTAGGTATAAGTTGGGTCAATTTTAATACATCAAACTTTCCGTTTATTTATCGGAAAAACTAACAATGAAACACTTTACATGGTGTTTTATGGTTTTACAATGAAACGTTAAGCTTTTAGAAGAAAAATGCTAGATACGTATAATAAAATATTTATGTATTTCTTTTCAGCACCATTTTTACTTTCATTTAGAATATTTACATATTTTTTAAACCAAAATGTTTGGTTCAATCAAGCAATGACATTGTTTTTATTTTGATAAATAAATTCAAAACAGAAACGAACAGATGCAATTTTTTGTGTTACGTTTAAAACTGCAGTTTCGAGTGCTTTTGTTTTCATTTCAAATTACTTATGGCATATTTTAAATAATTGCTGGAGGAGTAAAAATGTTCGAAAATTGTTTTATACAAAATTCAGAGAGGGTTTGAAAATTATTAAACTGAACAAACTGAATAAAAATAATTTCCGCAGCTTATACTGTTTAGGATTAAAACAAGGTATTTTTATTTTTATATTTGCTATATTTTTTGTAACGTGATTTTTTGTTCGCCCGCTTCACGCGGAAGCAGTAGTACGCGAGAGAGTCGAAGTTAGTCAAAAAGAGTGTTCGAACCGGGCGAGTGTGCACACAAGTGATCCGCTGATCCTTAAAATTCGCTGTTTACCAGAGACGCTGCAGATTTCGCAACAAAACAAGGTAGGCGAAAAATCGACCCTTTTTGTTTCTTTTCTATTTATTTAATGTAATTTTTCATTGCAAAATATCATATCGCAAAACGCATTTTTTCACGAACCGCACCTATTAAAAAAAATACAGTCCACTTAATTTAATCGCAACCATTGTTTACTTTATGTAAAAAAAATGTTAAATAATTTGAATATATTTCAAAAATAGTTACCTAAACAATGGTATAAAATATTTTATAAAAATATGTTTAAAATTTTTCTATGGTACACTACTACTGCTCGCTGATTAAGATGTCTCTGTTGCAACTACGTTCATGTGCCGGCAGTACGGCACTCAGATTTCGCTTCCATATAACATGGTGTGGATTATTATTACTCATGATTGTATAAAACCCTATTTTTTAATTTCCAGAATGCTCTTGACCCGCTGCTAATTCTGCGCTGAAGTTCAGAGTCGATAACAAATCAAGTCATAATAAGTCGGCCTTTTCCAAAATCAAACTGCCGAGGTAATTGAATTCCGCTACATATTCCAACAGTTCTCCAATTTTTTTAGCATTGTTATAATTTTCCGGGGGAGTGCATATTAATTTGGTATATTACACACCACATATTGAAGTTGGGTACACTATTTTTGTATAATTAAATTGTTTTTATCAGTATACACTATAAATGGAAAATATTTCTTGCAGTTATAAGTATACTAGCGTGTACCAGCGACTTCGTTCGCGTCGAATTAATCATTTGTAATGGTGATAATAAAGCAAAGCAAGAATTTCCATTAACATACAAACTGGATAACATTTTCTCACATTTATGTCAGCATGAGAAAAATCAGTATGGCTATATTAATATATAACTTGGTAATATTTGAGAGGTAGTTTCATCTCGTTGGAAATTGACTTTCGAAATATCCATTTGCCAAAAATAAGCTTTTTACGTCAAGCAGTTTAAGCAGAATCGGGGTTAAGAAATTACCCAACTTTTTGAAACACCCTCTATAATTTTATAAAAAATTTCAAAATATGTAAAAAAACCAAATAAATTATGCTTGTCCAAGCGTTTTCCCGAAAGATTAACCGTTTTTTAAATAACAAATATTGTAATATTTAGGCGTTTTCACCCTCTTCGAATTTGAGATTCGAGAAACCCCTCTTTCTCGAACCTCTACACCCCACAGTCAATCCGTTTGCCACAAATCAGCTTTAAACGTTAAGCAGTTTAAGCAGAATCATGATTACTCAATGGTCATATTTTATGAAACACCCTGTATAAATTTATAAAAAATCTTAAAATGTGTAAAACAATAAAATAAAATATACGTGTTTAAGAGTTTTTCCGAAAAACTCACCGGTTTTTAAATTAATTTTTTTTTAATATTTGAGGGATAGTTTCACCCCCTTAGAATTCGAGTTTCGAAAAATCCCTGCTTATCGAACCTCTACACCCTAAAGTCAATCTGTTTTCCAAAAATCAGATTTTTATGTCAGGCTCTTTAAGCAGGATCGTGATTAATGAATGATCAGATTTTTCGAAACACCCTGTATACATTTTTAAAAAAATTTAAAATATGTAAAAAACAAAATAAAATATACGTGTTTAAGCGTTTTTTCGGAAACTTGACCGTTTTTTAAATAAAATATATTATAATATTTGAGGGGAGTGAAACCCTCTTGGAACTGGAATTTCAAAGAATCCCTTCTTATCGAACCTCTACACCCTAGAATCAACCTGTATGCCAAAATTGAGCTTCTTACGTTGAGTGGTTTGAGCAGGATCGTGATTAATCAGTATGTCAGTCACTTAAGGATTTTATATATTAGTATAGATAATAAAATTATATAAGTACTCTTGCCTTGAACTGCTAATACCGTACGATCGAAAAAAAACGGCGTCCAGTTGGCTGGGAAATGACAAAGGAAATGACAATCGCTGACATTTCCCATATAATTTTACATATAAAATGACAGCGATCTTCATTTCATAGCCATCGCTGACGCCGTTTTTATTCGATCATACGGTATAAAAATTAATTTCACACTGTCTTCGTCATAATGTAGATCATCCTGTTCTCACTTCCGGTTTTGGAACCCTACCCCATCATCAGTTGAGCTTTGGTTGATTCCACAAAATGACAAACACAGTGTTGAATTAATTTCTATATTAGCAGTTCAAGGCAAGAATATTTAGTATATAATTTTAGTATATAGTATAATATATTATAAAAAATAATAAGAATATAAAACTAGATAGACTAAGGATAAGAGCCCACATTGTTTTATTTAAAATAAACCATTTAACTTTATAGCACAAAAGAACATCAACTTTTATAAGCCCTCCAATTTTAGAAACCAAGAAAATTCGGACCATTATTTTTTATCTTAGCATCCCGGTTTACTTGTTTCTTTGAGACCTTATACCGTACAAAACACGGGCTTTATTTACTTTCCTCGTTCGCATTTGCAATTTAGGCATTCTAATTGAGATCTCATAAAAAATTCGCATCTGTTTAGCCTTTTGGGTCTGGAAACTTTGTTTGGGGTATAAACGTAACAATCGAGATAAAAAGGCCTCAATGGTTACAGGTGACGTCATGGGCGGAAACTTTTTTAATTACGCTCTCTATATAACAATTGATATTAATATTTTTTTTCTAAGTTATTAAATTTAAAAAATAGACCTTATGTTGGTACACATGCCAAAGTAGGCATCAATATTGTAATCGGTTGAGCAACAAACGAATTTTTTTTTATTCAAAGTCACTAGTGGCTTTTAATAATCCTTCATTATCTTCTAAAACTATAATTCGCCTAGAGACTCTTCGTGCACGAATTGTGTTATGTATTATTATACAGGGTGGTCCCAACAATATTCCGGGAACTTCAGCAGCATATTCTGCAGATAAAAATAAGTAAAAAAAGTTCATATAAATGTATATCCTAGAATACTTAGTTTCAAAAATACAGGTTGTGGAAGTTTCATTTTTATTTCAATTTTTTCCAAATAATTTCTGAAGTAACGTCAATATTTGGATGAAATTTGGTGTCTGGAAGCATATTGACATGAGAAATTTGATTTTGATGTCAATATGACTCCTATTTGTAGGGGGCGCTACCTACATATATTTTAACTGTTTTGATGAGTAATAACTTTTCGTCAATACCCGTATAAAACTACTAAGTGAAAAAATATACATTTCCGTGTTTTTTTAGGTAAAAAATGTCTCTTGGTAAAAATCGCTACGAGCAACTGTTCTGAAAAGGTTGAGAATGGAAATAGGCAACACTTGTTACTTTTGACAAAAAATAAACATGTTGAATTATTTGACTTAAATGATAAATTTGGGACTTTTTAATTTTTAAAATTTTTAATAATAAATGTTTCTTCGATGATAAAACAGTTTCTGTTGAACTTTTGGTACAAAAACATTTCAAATTTATGATTTCAGTCTA